CAACCATAGGCTAATGTAAGTGTTCTGAGCACCTGTAAGATAGACTAGGCTAGGCTAAGCCAGGTAGGTTAGGTGTATGAAATGCACTTTTGACTTACAATATTTTCAATTTACAAGGGTTTTATCAGGACATAGCCCCATTGTAAGTCAAGGAGCATCTGTATTTCCAACTCTTCTTCAAGTCTTCAGAAAGTCTGTCATGTGTCCCCCGGCCTCCAAACCCGATCACCCTACTATAGCCAGTAAATGACAAGTCTAACTAATCAAGAAATTAATATTAAGCATCTACTATATGCCCAGTGGCATGCTATATGCAATGAGTGACATATACTGAAATGCTGTAGATGATATTTTCCCTTAATATGCTAATAACCTCCCTAGGAAGATAAGCTAACACACAGGAAGCAAGTATAGAATGGCATGGTACTGATTATCAAAGCTCAGAGAAGTAACTATTTATTGAGCACCTATTATACTTCATATACTTTGAATGTTCAAATGCAGTGCCTCATTTAGTCACTCAGCATTGATGTGAAGGTGGTGCTATTATTATCCCCATTTTACCAAAAAGAAATGGAACCTCAGAGAGGCTAAGTAATTTGTGTCCAAGGTCACATAGCCAATAAGCAGTGGAATAGAAATTTGGGCTCTGCTCCATGAGACTGCAAAACTTTCATTCTCTCAACTACTCTAACTTAAGAAATAGAGCCAAGTGGGCTGAAACAGCCAGGGAGGCTTCCTGGAGGAGGCAGGAACTGTTCTAAGTCTTAAAGGGAGGGTAGGATACAGAGAAGCCCAGGGGAGTACGAGAACAAGGGTGTTCTAGAAAGAGGTAAGAGTCTGAGTCGAGCATGGAGGCATGACTGCTTGCTTGTGGACCTGCTGGACAGGAGCAGAGGTTTCATGATGGGGCAGAAGAGATTAAGTCAGGAAGGCAGGGTGTGGCCAAATGACACCAGACAACAGCAGCTTCCTCCACCAGGAGGAAGAGGCTTCTTCTTGGCCTGCCCATTCCTCTAGGAAAGCACCGCACCCTCAAACCCAGGTAATCCATTCCAGGGAGCAACCCTGGGCTTTCTATTCCCATCTAATCATTCTTCCCTGTCTTAACTGCTGCCTCCAAAGCCACCTTCCCCATACACCGGGAGGCTCATTTCTCTCCTCCAGACCTTACCTGCCCTTTATAGCTTCTTCCACGTACCAGCCAACCAGTTTACGCACATAACATCCCTTTGTGAATGTCCTTCTCCCTTTTAGTTTTAACCTTTCCCAGAACAGGGAGTAAATATTTTTTCTAATTATTAGTCAGTCCTTAATTGCCACCCCTCCACTGGACTCTAAATGCATGTTAGGTGATGACATCAGAGGTTATTTACATATAATTTCTGAATTTGTGAGGACTTCATGATTAATATTTCTGGAGACCTTCAATTTGAGATTCGCAGGGATCCACAACAGAGGAATTTTGGGAGAATGTACCTGTATTTACTAAGGAATCCTCTGCCTTGCACACAGCAGGTGGTCAACACTGGGTGACTTAATTTGAACCCGTCCTCCAAGAAAACTCACCCGATGTACTGGAAATAATTCAGCACTGTGGCCATAACTTGGTGAACACTCCTAGCACAGAAACCTCAGCGAAGCAATGAAAAGCAGTTCTGGCTGCAATGGAAAATAAGGCACGCTCCTGCCAAGTACTTTGCAAACAACAGTAAAAACGGAACTGGTGACTAGGGTCTATCGGTGCATCTCAGGAAGCTCTCACAGAACCCGACATGGAGAATCGAGGCCCAGCACACATCTCCTGGGAGAAAAGCGTCCCTTTAAGAAGAGACTGGACCAGCTGGCCGCACTACAGCTCCCAGACATTTCCTGGCTGGCATCCCGGCTCCACCCCCCAGCCTCCGGCCTCAGTAACGCATGACGTCAGAAGAGGCTGAAGCTGTTGATTGGCTGAACGACGCAGCTAGGTCAAGTCCAGTCGGAGGAAAGAAGTTTGTCTCCATGTGGAAACCATGTGTCTCTAGCTGGGAGGGGGAGGAGGAGGAGGCGGAGAAACCGAGATCAAGTGATTACAAGGGAATTCGCTGAAATGAAGGCGGGGAGGTTGTGCACCTGAGCCGGACAGCAATGCCCTTTGCAGTAGTGACCTAAAAAAAAAAAAAAAAAAAAAGACTTGCACAACAAAACAAAACCTGAGCCCCCTCCCCTATCATCATCATAATTAAAAAGCTAGGCTTCTTGCTTCCTTCCAAAAACCAGGGACCTGGGAAATGCTGGAATCCTATCGGAACGCCCAGATCCCTGTCCCTCCCCCAACGACTGAATGATGTAAGCGTTTCGGAAAGCAGAGCTCTGGAGCAAAACAAGCCCCGCGCGCGCGGAGCGACCCGCAGTGCCCGAGCCCGGCGCACGCACGACCCGCCCCCCGACTCGCGTTATTGCTGTGCACACGCGGACCGCCGTGACGCGCGGGCATTGTGTGCAGCGAGCAGAAAACAACGGCGAGCGCCGCCCGCGCGAAGAAGCGCCCCCAATAGAAGCCAGGCAGATGGAGGGCCCGCCTCGGCGGGGTGCGGGGGGTGGAGGATGAGGATAAGGTGGCCCCACTGGGCCGCTCCGGTTTGCAGGGGTATAATAGAGGGCCCGGCGGATGGTCGCACAGAGTTTTCTGGAGATCACCCTCGCCTGCGGGAGCTGTTGGGCACGGGGCTAGGGCCTGGAGCGGGGTCCCTGAAGCCGAGCCGAGCACAGCGCAGCGCCCCACGCTCTCGGGGAAATCTGGGGGCCGCTGGCATCACGTCATTTAGAGCCAAACAGCAGCGGCGAAAAGAGGCGAGAGAGCTAAAAATACTCCCGCGGGGAGCTGGCCGGAGGAGGGGGGCTGCAGAGCCTAGGGGCTGATGACGCACGCGAAGTTGACTTTGACTGGGGCGCGAAGGTTCCCGAGCCCCTCTCGGGGGCTGGCGGGTTTGCAGCGCGGACGCCTCGGGAGAGGGGCCTGGAGGAAGCCCCTCAGCTCCACCAGCCTCTAGATCCCCTCTCCCCGGCCGCGGGCCCGCCCCGCGCGGGGCAGCCCGGCCCGGCGCGCCAGGCTCTCTGCTTACGTGACTGATGGCCACGCCGGAGCCCCGGCGCGGGGTAAACAAGGAGGTGGCGGCGGCCGGGGGGGGGGTAGGTCTCCGATTGTTTGCGGGAGGGAGTGGGGGCGGGACGCCGAGGAAGCTCCGACCGCCTCCTTAATACACTCGCTGGGGAAAGTGGGGGGGCAAATCAGGTTCGCCACACATTGCCAAGGTGCCCTCTTTGGGTGCAACCCCACTCAGAGCCGCCGCCACTTGACAGACTCCGGAGAACCAGGGACCCTGGGGGCGGGGGGGTAACTAAAGAAATTGCGCCCCTCCCCCCTGCAACAAAAGCAAACACACCAAACAAAACCACGTCTTCACCCAGATCCCCACCAGCTCTGGCTTTTCAGAAACTACCCTCCAGACGAATGTACACACACCCTTGGCCCCCCGCATGAACAATCGCAAAGCGATTCGGCTACACAGCCTGAGACGAGCCTCTCTTGCATCCCAGGCACTCTGAGAAAACAGGCGAGAAGAGAAAGAAAAGAACGCACCGCCGACCTCCCAACACAAACCCTTGTTTGGGCCCCACAGCGTCTGCACAATTGCGCTGCCAACACACGGTTACTTTAACCCTAGAGGCCTGGGGTGTAGGTCAGCAAAGGTGTTTTCGTGTTTGAGGGTTGTTGTTGTGTTGTGGGGGGAGGGTGCAAGATCTGACACGTTGCAATCGGACCTTTCTCTCTACCCCCCTCCCCCCATTGATCTTCCTACTTGTTCGGACAGATTAAACCTCCCGGTTTCCTTCTGTCTGTCTGTCTATCTGCCTCGGCCCCTTCCTCCTCCTCACAGCTATTATTCTGAGGACGGTGCTGGAGACGCCGCACGCGCGTGCCCCCGATAGGGCGCAGAGCCGACTGCCTGGGGAGGGCTGGGGGACCCGGCTGGCAGGGGCGAAACATGAAACAGACAAATACAAAAAGGAGGACAGGCCGGGGAGGGGTTCCCAGCCCCCCACCCCCACCCCCGTATCGCTCTCCACCTGAAGCTGCAGGTTGGGGGTACAGTAGAAATCGGCCTGGAAGGCGTCTGCCTTCCTCCCCCTGCGCGCTCACTCGGGAGCCGTCTCCCGGAAAATAAAGAAAACGCACACAGCAGCCCACACCTTCTTCCCCAACTATTGTTTCTGCGAGATCCCAAAGTTTCCCTTTAGCCAAGTTTCCCGGGCGCAGGACGGCGGGTCCAGGGCGAGCTGCCGGGGGTGGGGGTGCAGGTGGGGGTGGGGGGCACGGGACGGTGGCATCCCAGGGCAGCGGGGGTGCAGGGGGACTGCATCCGTAGACGCGATGGCCCAGTCCTGCTGCGAGAGGGAAGGCAAGAGCGAAGTGGGCAGGAAGGAGGGACGCAGCTCGAGCGAGCCCACGCCGCGGAGAGCTGCGTGCTGGTGGTTATTGTTGTAGTGTGTCTTGTTGCCTTTCAGGAAGCCCTGAGCTCTGCCTGAGGTTTCCAACTTTCGGCTTCTAATCCCCACCCCACCCAGGAACGAGCGACAGAAAAACAACACTTGTCTGCCTGAGAAGACTCCGGGGGGGAAAAAAAAGGAAGAACGGCGACCTCGATGAGATGAGCTCTCGGCTCAGTTGTCAGCAAACAACAACACTCCCCCGCTCCCCGGCCGCGCTGTCCTCCCAGGCCGCCGGTGACGGACAGACGGACGCACGGACAGGCCCCCTCTCCGCCTCGCTTGTCTTTGTTACATTTTTAGCAGCTTTGTGCGTGCATGTCCTTTCTCCGGTGTCATCGGCTTGACTGACGAGGGCTGCATGCGGGGGTGAGGGGGAAGCGGGTCGAGCGGGCGACAGGGGTCGCCCGAGTGGGCGAGAAAGAAAGAGCCGAGCGCCGAGGAGAAGCCAGGGCCCCCAAACTTACTTTTGTTTTCTTTCTCGATCTGCTCCAGGTAGCTGGCGGCCTCGAGCAGAATCTGCACGTTCTGCAGAAAAGTGTTGATGTGCTTCTCCATCGAGTTCTCGCTGGTGTTGAAAATGTCCGAGAAGGGGCACCTGGGCTTGGCCCCCGCGGGCTCCTCGGGCTGCGCCGGGGGCACGGCCGGGGGCGCGGCGGGGACCAGCCCCGCGCCCTCGTAGCGCGCCTCCTTGCGCGGCCGCCCGCGTTTGCCCATGAAGGAACCGGGGTCCGCCGAGCTCGTCTGCGCGGCCCGGCCGAGCTCCGGGCCCCCAGGGAGACCCGGCCGGCTGGAGCGGAGGAGACGCTGGGGCGAGGAGCCGGCCTGACTTCCCGAGCCTCGCTGCGTGCGGTTCTGTGTGTGAGTGTATGTGAGTGTGTGTCGGTCTCGCTGTGGGTCTGTGTGGATGGGAGATTGAATGAACCTACAGGACAGACGGAGGCGCTCTGGCGCCTGGGTCCTAGTGCGAGCCTGTCGCCCTCGGACCGGTCAAAATAAAAGGTGGAGACTAGCGAGGCAGGGACCGCCCCCTGCCCGTCGTCTCCGCACCTTTCCCGCCTCTCCCCAAACCTTAACCACGACGCAGAGCACTGCGTTTTAACCGGAATGAGAAAAATACTCGATGTCTCTAAGTGCATCTGCACAGAAACAAACTACTCAGCAATTTTTTTCTTCACGGAAAAATAATACCTCGAAACGCGTCCAGCACAATGTCTGGCACATAGTAGGTCCCCGATAAATG